ACGGTTTAACGCATAGCATTGATGACGTTTCGGGAAAAACTTACTGCCTACAGTAATATCGTGATACTTATAGATTTTAAAACTTTATTTAGTTTTTGTCTTATCTCATAACTTGACTTCACATATGCAGATGATATATGACGAGGAGCGAAAGCTACTCAAACTAACAAGAAGCCTTAGTAACGACCGTGAACAGTGGTGGGCTACAAAAGCGAGAGATGGGAAAGGCACCGGCGATTGGTAACACCAAACAACTATTTAGGCTTATCAGGGAAACAGGTGGTAAAAGGCAAATGATAAGTGAAACAATCTCTGAGAAAAGTGGCACCATAATTAGCTCCCAGGATAGAAGACTAGAACGTTGGAAAGAACACTCTGAGGAGCAATTCAGTTAGCCTACAGCCACGCTCAACCTACCGAACATCCAACACCTCTCTGAATGGGATATAGACACAGGTCCCCCATCCCTAACTGAGGTTACTAATGCTGTCAATAGTCTGAAACGAGTCAAAGATATGGGACCTGATGGAATGACTCCAGAGGTATTTAAGTACGGTGGAGACAGTTTACCGCCTGCGTTAACTAAGGTACTAGGCAGCGTCTGGGAATCAGAGGAAGTCCCGTCGGGTTGGTGTAAGTCATTGATTATCCCCACATATAAGGAGGGAGACAAGTCTTCATGTGATTATCACAGGGGGGGATTAGCTTCACTAATATGGCATCTAAAGTTCTAAGCTCAATACTAATGCGTAGACTAAGCGGTGATCGGGAGGAACAAACTTGAGATAACCAGGCAGGCTTTAGACCAGGACAAGGGTGTATTGTCAGATTATGGAACATTTACCGGTGACCAACAATCGTCATATTTCTTGACCTAAAGGTGGCATTCGTTTCTATAAACAGAGAGGTACTATGGCGATGTCTGGCTGTAAAGGGAATGACTAGAAAATACATTGAACTGATCAAGGCACTCTACTCGAACTCATGCAGCCAGGTGAGAGCCAAAAGGAGAGTTGTCATCTAAAGTAGTGACAACTATTCGCGTCCATCAGGGATGCCCACTATCCCCATTTGTATTTAATTTATTCATAGATGTACTAAAGGAATTAACCCTAACTCACTTCAGCGACTCAGGGATCGACTTTTTACTAGGGAATAATATCGTTGACTTAGAATATGCAGATGTTATAGTCCTGCCTCCTAGGTGAACAGGCTGACAAAATACTGAGTCTTCTGAACACCTTGAGCTGCAATCTACGAATGTTCGGTATGCGATCCGCTCCCGCCAAATGTAAGATGATGCTACAGGAATGGACTACATTGACTCATTCCTAGCTTAGAAATAGAGAGTGAAGCGGTAGAGCACGTTGACCACTTCACTTATTTGGGAAGTTGCATCAGCCAGTGCCAGCGGGTTGATCGCTGACGAAATTTCTGCACGGATACAGATGGCTAGTTTCGCATATGCCAGTTTGCGCCATCTCTGGCGTAGACGTGATATCCGGCTATCGACCAAAGGACGTGTGCACTGCTCAGCAGTCCGCTCCGTCCTTCTTCAATGGCTGTGAAACCTGGTCATTGAGAGTGGAAGACACGAAGAGGCTAGCTGTCTTTGATCATAGATGACTGCGTTCTATCTCCCGTGTGAGGTGGTATAATAAGGTGAACAATATTGAGGTCAGGTGTCGAGTGCTAGGTAAGGAGGGAAATCAATCGACGAAGTTGTGAAGTTATATCGATCGAGATGGTTAGGACATGTGTTACGCATGCATGACTAGTCATCGCCTTCCTCAACAACGGGCAATGTTAGCTGACATAGGATTGATCAGGTAGGAAAAGAGCCAGTGGCGGTCAAACCAAAACACGGCTTCATCAGTCAATGAAATCCACAACAGTTAGTTTAAGTCACTTAGGGAGGTGTAGACTTCCTGACTGGTTGGGGTCCTCGGGACAGTAAAACCAATGAAGGCTGGAGACAATTGGTGATATGGCTCAAAATCGTTCTCAATGGCTGGTGCAGATGCACCCACTCTTTTTGACTTATAATTTCCAATGAAACCATATTGTTCTTTGTTGCTACTATTCCTTTAGTCTTATATCCTTGTCTACTGTCTCTGTTTTGCATTTTATTCTACTTTCTTCTCTTGCTTTGTGTGCTACGTGGAGTGTGGTGACTCGAACTGCTGCACATCGGTGCATAGTTCTATGTTAAAACCAGTCAGTCAGTTAGTGACTTCACATCAACACTCAAGGGAAGAAGAAAGAAGAATGAAGAGAGAGACTACAACATAATTAAGGGATAATTCAAGCCATCTATAATGTCACAATACAAGGAACCTACATATGAACTATTACGTCGGGGTCTGCAGAGAGAATGAATTAGGATGACTGTTAGGCTTACAAACTCTGCAGGCTCAAGGATTTTACTGACAGAATTACACAAGATGATGTGGTTTATCGAAAACTTTTTTATGACTAATTTGAAGTATACAGGTCAAACTAGTCGACCAGGGTTAGCATAGATGACAATAGAGATGCATTTAGCTACTTTTGGAATAACGAACCTTTAGAAAATAAGTGAAAATGGAACCTCGGCTATTGCAGGGTATTTTTAACAGTTCCACAGTGGCACAAGATACTACAACAATTCTAACTGATAACACATTTTTGTGAAGGTATAGGCTGATCATTGTATCTGCGTTCCCTGAATCAACACTTTACGCGTGCAATAGAAATGATGCGACACGAATACTGGGAATATGGGAAAAATTACCACCAATAAAACTAAAGGATGAGAAATAATAGGACTACATAAACAAACAACTATGAGCGGACGTCATCGGTAAAAAAATAATTCTGTATCACTACGTGGTAACATCCAATAAAATTATTCTAATATGGAATTATACTTTAGCACATTTTCCCTCTTCTACGCGTACCAATGACTCCCTTAGAATATTCATTGAAGGTCTCAATCTTTAGGGAGGAAGATGCTGATGTTATAACTACATGTTACTAATATTACTGAAATTTTCCAAACTAATAAGCTTCAAAATCACTCCATACTTAAATGGAGTCAAGAGAAACCAAATCTATGAGAAACAGGCTAGTTACAGAAATGGTCATAGGTGCATCTACCAGGTAATCAATCTTCGTCAGACTTTGGAACACACTTAAAGCTATTCGAAGCTAACTGTATTTCTTACCTAGAAACGGCTGTTGACTTCACCCATTAAGGAGCTTTATAGCAGTATTTTCTACTGGCAAGTAATTCCGTAAAGTGTCTACACCGAATAGTATTTGTTAGGGATATTTAATGCCTTGACTTTATAATACTCATGCTACTAGGAATCTCTAATTCCATGTCTAACTCTGCAAGGATTAACCTCACCACAGGGGATCAATAACCTAAAATTTCCTGTTGGTTAAAGATCCTGACACTGAAATTTTCAGGAAAATCTAAGCACGTCTCATTCACTAAATGCAAACTGGAACTTTATGATAAGTTAGCAACAATAATGTCAGGCTATAGGAAAAGTGCATTAATCTTCACAGATTGACGAATGATGAAATCTTCACACAGACGCACACCGTTCGTTTAGCTTCCAACAAACTGTACGGCTAAGAGGAAAGGTGAAATAAGCCCCCTCTAAAAAATGACGTGGTATGGCGAGAGTTAGTAGACTCCGATCTTCCCCTTAAAATACCTTCGTCATCACCCTGACTCAAAACTTATGATGCACACGAGCTCCAAAACCCGAAAGGAAAGAATGGTGTACGAACTGTCTTGGTTGCAGACAACCGTGAGAAGCTCCTAAGGCTGTTCTGATGTCTTACGAACTAGAATTTAATTCAAAACCCTTGACCGTCAAGCAAACCATGTGTAAACAGTCAATGGGAAACTCTACTAGCACACAAACACTGGCTGGAAATAAAATGCTTAAACCAAGCAGTCGCACTCTCACAAGATAACTACAAATGCGACAAACGTTAATACGATGGAGGTTTATAGTAGTTGACTTGTCTTGATTTTATTTAGAACCTATGCTTAGACTTAACGACAGTAAAACAAAAAAAAAATACCCCATATACTGTACAGAAAAGTAACACAGTTATCCTTAACTGGTTATGATGCCCACTGAACACTTAGAAACTGAGCCATTCAGATTATTTATTTTATTTAATACAAGGTCTGTGTGTAAAGGGACGCTTCACACAAGATAATAAATAACAATTTTAAGGAAAGAGAAGCAAAATAACCAAGGTACAACAGAACAAAAACAGATGAACACACTTATCAAGAAAATTAAAAAGAAAGCTCATTTGTTCATAATACCTTCAGGAAGAGAAATTTACTCTACTTGATCACATATTTTATGCCAAGAATGAATGTAGCTGAACTTACATCTGTATACACCGTTTGGCCTATTAAAGTCAAGCTCACGATATGTAAAATAACTAAGTCTCGCTTCCGATTTCTTTTTAATTCCAAACATAGAAACACTTCTGATGTTTGGAGAAACACAGGTGTGACTGTCGGGCACATTACAACAGTAAGTTGCAAAATGTTGATGCTTGTTTCTATCCGGATTTCGAACCAAATACAGAATAGTCACAATGATCGACAAAACCTTTGTGTGAAAATAAAATGCTGATGTAGAATTACTAACACCAAAATTGGTGAGCAAATAATAATATCAGCAGTGTGCGGAAACCATAATACTATGAGATTTCATCAAAAGAAACACAATCAAAAATTTAGGCAGTTGATCAACTAAGTGTACGCTGCTTATTATGTCAGGAAGAGACAAAATTATATATATATATATATATATATATATATATATAACCGTTGCTTCCAGAAAACCGAAATTAATACCGGGGAATATTTTGTCAAAACCAGAAGCGATGGTTGCTAATTAGACTAAAGACAAACTACACAATATAGCAATACGGTAGTGATGCTTTAAGTACCTAATTAGCTCAAAGAAAGAACTTACCAACATATCTTCCTTGGTTTTGAACGAAAGAATAGCGAAACCATCAATAATAACTTCATTAAACTTCTTTGGACTAATAAGGTCATACTTCAATTCATCATCTTGTAATGTCTCATTGTGTCTAGAATCTTCACTTTTACCAGATTCTAGCTGTTGACCGGTGCATAAATCCTTTGGTTGTTTATCAGATAAGTCCAAACGTTTTACATCCTGAACCACTTCTTCGTCTATCTTGAGTGAGTCAGAAGTGCAATCCATTTGTGGATCGACATGTTCGAAGGATAAGCACACAGAATTAGGTATTTCCAGGGCAGAAGCAATCAGTCCATTTTTTGGAGGATTAAATCCAGGGCTGTTCTCAGCACTAATCGAATTAGACCCAACACTACAGTCACTTATGATGGTTTCATGATTTATCAGTTTGACATCATTTTCTGTTGTGTATTCTTCAAAATTCACTGAATCCTGTGCTGTTGAACACTTAGGCATCACTCATACATGAAAGTAGTTTCCATTTACAATTAGAAAAAAGTGTTAGATTTTTCACATAAACCAACAATAACAAGAATAACTGAAATGAGAGAAAACCCCATATCAAATATCACAATTATGCTGTAATCCTTTTGAGAACCTAACGATAGGCAAAACAAGAAAAGCAACACAGTCGTTTGATTTTCCCACATAAGCATAGTGATAAAATTTCGTTATTTCCTTCTACAAAATTCAGTATTTTACCATGATGCTAAATTAAATTTTAAACTATAGAGTTGTAGCTTCCCTTAACATCAGTTAGTAGACAATAAGTTTAACGCGGATAACTCGAGTTCTTAAGAATCAAACATCTTTCAAACTTTCAGAATGGCATTTCTGTATATTCACGATAATATTTACGACCTACTTTACACTAAAGGCATAACTTCATCTTAAACACGTTGACGTAACTTTCAAAATCATATGCTGCATTGCAGAATTCTATTCATCCAAGTGGTTCTGTTGTACCAGAAAACATAGTTTAAGCAAATAAGTGTCAAGTAATTTCTGGCTAGAATCCCTTATTACACTCGAAAATTGTTTGTCACGGGATTTCATCCTTTTAGTCTTCAAAGAAAGTTAAAAGTGTATTTGTGAAGAAAAAGATGAAATTGTGGCGACAAATGATCATTAACTTGAAGCTTTTACCACTCAGTATTCAGTGCTGACCCTTACTGTTTAAGTAGGTTGATTGGGCTCAAGACATCCAATTCAGAGCCTATCCCATCTGTCACCCCGTTGTGTTACTTTCAGTCGACTCTGTCTGAACTCTAGTAAGTTAGGCATACATCCTGACTCCTTTGTACCGATCCTTAAATGCAGATCATGTTTCCGTCGACCTAATTTTGCCTTAATTCGGTTCACTGGCTGTTCTCCATTTTACTTTGGATAGGTTCGTTGAGTGTTGAAAAACAAGAAATGCACACCTACAGTATGATCCGTGCTCAATGAATGCTTCGTCACGTAACCCAATGAGCCTGCAAACAGGTCTCATTCAGCTTCAGTGAGTTCGATCCATTCTACGCTTACCAACTTCTAACATCTTCACTTCTTTCAGAATTATTTTAATCTTGTGTAGCCAGACACAGCAACCCATCCACTGAAGGGTTAGTATATACAGATTTAGTTGGTTTCACTGTGGCCTGATGGCACAGTAACATGCTTTCTATGAACATGGAATAACTAATCAGCTCTCTAAATAAGTGGCAATCATATACGCTCTGCCACGAGAAATAAACGACTGCGCCACTTCTTACATATGTTCGCCTCAGAATAAAGTAATACCTAAGGGATTTAAAATCCAGCCATTGTGAAAATAAACGACGTCTCAGATGATCAAACTCCTCTGCAAGACTTTCACCAACATTGAGTCAAAGAATGGTTCCGTGGCACACATGCTTTCACGAGTGCGAAAAGCCAGAAAGCAACGCAAATCTCACTAAGGACTCCCCTTACATAAGTTGCTACAATCGTTGGTAGTAACCAGCTGCTTTACACTACACATGTCGTCTAAAGTCCCAGTAACTCGTTGAATTTGTGTGCTAGCCAGCATTCCCCCTGATACCAAGGAACGAACAAGCATGCCCGCAAATTGCACGATCCTAAAAGAAAGCCTATCACAATTATTGGGAGGAGATATTAAGAAAAAATAACAAAGTGTGAGAAGAAATATATTCCATTTCAATTAGTTCTTCATCATGGGCTGGCTCTATACTAATATATAGTTTTCTACATCAAAATTTTTGTCAATCAACTTGCTATCTTAGTTATTCATTTTTAGTTATAGAGGTGTGAAATTAAGAGGTTAAAGACCATCAGTACAATTAACTACTAGATGTTAGTAACAAGATATCTAAATTTTAAAGGAAGGATGAAAGTTAATTACGGAATTCAAAATAAGCTGATTTTTGGGCGTTAGCAACAGGTCATTACATAATTGAGAAATTTGTAAAGTTCATCATCAAATTTCTGGACATCACCTATCTTGGTTTGACAGAAGTCCTAATGAAGCTGCTATACGCACATCACTACTAGCTCATCTCATCCATACTGAACATCAAGTTGACTGTAGCAAAGCTTACAAAGTTATTTATGGCACGTCACCCGACCTCCCGCATGGTCTACTAGCACCACTTCTGCATACGGAAGATGTAATTGGAACTGATATGGGCAAGCCAAAAGAAATGTGTGTAGCCCCCTTCTTCGATATGGCCGACTGCACAATATGTATTAAGTTTTAAAAAAGATTTTCCCTTCCACTTGTATCTATCTTTTGGGTTTGCTGTTTTATTATGATTTCAATTCTAGCTAATTCAACTAACTTGTTTGTATCTTACGTAATTTTCCTGAGTTAACCTGTTTTTCTAAGATATCATTATTTTACAGATTTCTTGATTAAGTAATAATCCGTTGCTAACTCCTACGAAACTACCTGATATTGAATTCAGTAATTAATTTTCACTTCTCCTTCGAAATTTAGATATCTTCTTAATAATATCTATCGGTTTTTTTTGATGACCTTTAACCCCTTAATTTCACTTCCTTCCGTATAGCTAAAACTGATGGACTAAAATAACCACATGATTGGTAAAATGTTGACATAGAAAACTATATATTAGTATAGAGCCAGCCAATGATGGAGAACTAATCGAAAAGGAGTATATTTCTTCTCCCAATACGTTGTTTTTTCTACGTAAGTGGGAATTTGAAGTTATCAGTAGCTGTAAGTACATATTAGCAAACTTGATTAACAAATATCCATACTTGATGAAGTAAAATACCGAAAATACTCCGGGTTTTGCCTTTTGGAGACGATCTAGAAACAGTAATGTTATAACTGTATATAAACTTGGTAATCTTTAAGCCGGCTGTGATAATTACTATTCTCAATATCAACCAAAACCACAATGACATGGCACGATAACACCGAATACGCGACGAAAGTAGGCAGAAGAGAAGAAAAAACTGTTGAGGTTGTGTGCGTTTATTGCCTTGTATCAACCAAGCAAAAATTATATAGAAAAATAGCGTATCTACAGTTCAGACATATATAACCTTCGGGGACACAAATTACATTGATTAAATAATCGACGCTTTGATGATTAACAGCCAAATGGGTTTCAAGTCATAAGCGAGGTGAGGGAAATTTGAAGAACAAAATGTCGAGCGTTATATAATCCTTGGCTTTATAAAACTTAGGAGTGAATTCCTTTCACTTTCTGCACGATATCACATTTATCGTTTATATACCCATTGACGATACGGTGGTGGTGAATTTTATCTTCCCGGAACCGTAGGCCGTGAATTTTCTTGGCCTTTTCGATTGTCTGATAAGTAATTTTCAGATGATTCTAACCTTTGCCGCCTTGCTCACACACTGGCAGGCCTTCATGTGGCTAACAAGTACGTAAACGTAGACACAGCTGCTAACTTCACGAAAACCGTCACGTTGTCAAGTTGCTAAGGTTTCAGGACCTAGCTGCAAATCTGTGAGTCTCTTTTATTGCATTTTGGGCAGTGATACAATAGCGGCAGTAGGTTCCTTTTTCTCGAGGCAGCTGCAAACCACAGAAACCTTCAACTTCTCATAACTCACTCCACTGTACATCGCTCTCAACATGCCGATAAAGTACGCGTGTTCACTATTTTCACGGACCGCGAACTAATCACGTGCTGTCTGGACTGTATTCTGGACAGATATTCACCAATAAGTCATGTTAGTTTTAGTATATTCTGAGACATAGTCAGTGTCAAATAATCTTTATATAGACTGAATATTTTCACGATTATTTAAATACACAAGACACATATAAGTTAAGGCAGCAGAATAATATCGAAAAGGTTACTTCACCTTTGATTATTTTACGCCTTTAGGTGGATTTAAGCAAACACGATGCCTAGGATTAAACCGCGTACATTGTGTTCACATGTGGTAAACACAACAGGCTATTCATAAAATCATTAGATTGGCCTCATGAAACGTCAGTCTACAGATGACAAAATCCGCAGCGATATCAAGTGTAAGCAGCTCAGCAGGGCAGTCTGTGTCCAGTTAAACGTATAAAGAAGCAATATTACACCAACAGCAATCAGCAACATGCAAGATTCAGTTCATATGTAGTTGGAAACAAGAATAACAGCTAGATAATGAAAACAAAATGACAAACGAAGCATGCAGCAGCTGAAAGTTACCATCACATTAGAAATACAGCCATCATAATACTTTCGTTGCCTCATAAATTTCCAAACTTGATTGCACTTGGCAGTTAGTGACTGGGATTTGACTGATGGTAGGAAGCTAGTATTCTACAACTGCCACTAAGCACACGTCAGAAAGCGAAAGTATGCAGTTTTCTGTGAGGCATTTACAGGGTTTGGCGCTGGCAAAGTTTTTAAATCCCTCTGGATTGTAACTGTAAGTCACGAAATACTTTCATTCTTTATCCCCTTATGGAAAATTGAATGCGAGGTAAATGGCAAAAGAGGAGCCGAAGGGCAGAAGGACAAAAAGAATCATGAGGATTACACGAGTGACATTTGAGTATATTAATATATAAGTATATATGTACCTGTCAACATGGATATCGGTGGCTCAGCGATAGAATGCTTGTGAATCACGTATATGTTCTAGGATTCGAATCTCAGCCCACGCATTCCTTCACTTCTTTAAGCCGGGAATCAGCCTAGCAACCCTACCCCGTAAGAATAAACACCGCTGTTACCGAAAATTCAAAGCTCTAGCCTGAAGCCCTGTATTCTACTGGAATTTTAAAGGAATAAAATAGAATAATAATAAAGACATGTTGTCAATAACGGTATCAGAAAAATCTGCTGTAGCCAGAAGACAGCTCCCTGGAACTCACAATACTGTTTTCCGTAAACAATAACCAACCCGATTTCAACTCATGTGGTGTTCAAGGATAGAGTGTAAGTCGAGGATTTATTGATCATCATCAAATATACAACAACTTGGCCATGTGATACACGGTTGGTTACGATCAATACACCAGAAAAGTCTACAAATAACATCTGTGCAATATTCGTTAATACTTCTGATCCTATTGCTCCAGTCTTCTATCAGTGAGCAAGCATCTAGTCCGCGGCAGGGATTGCTGCCTTCAATGAACAGGAAATAGGCTCGAATAAACACATTCACTGAACGTCCACTGCATGTTCACCAACACTAACATATGTATATACATATATATTTTCTTTTTATAGAAATCATGATATTCACTGTTTGTCGATG